GGCGGCAGACTGCGTCAGCCACGTGGTGGCGGCAGACTGCGTCAGCCACGTGGTGGCGGCAGACTGCGTCAGCCACGTGGTGGCGGCAGACTGCGCTGCAAGGAGCCACACACCTGCTAAGGGGTGGAGGGGTGAGCAGGGGTTAAAAGAAACTCCTGGAAGTTAAACAAAAAGGTCTTTATTTACTTAAGAGTCAGAAATTCTAAAACTGGGGAAACAGTAGATAACTTCTAAAATAAACCTTTCACATATGTGACGTAGATTTTTTTTCTTTCAGATAAAACATTCTGAATATTCCCAAATAATCACGCCACACCATACTGGAGATAAGACGGGTTTTCTCTCCGGATTTAAGGAGGTTTAAGTGGGAAAAGAAAATGGTCCGTTAGACACTTTCCACGTATAATTTAAGTCTGAGAAACCTCGTGCCCATGACACTAAGGTGAAAAGGGAAAATGGTCTAAAACACCTGGATTTTGCCCCATAATATACACACGTAACCCAACTGTTAGCGTACTGCTGGAGTATCAGATTTTACAACACGCTACCTCCCTGTAGGGTGCAAACGGTTAATGCGCTTGGCTGCTAACTGAAAGGTTAGTGACTCAAGTCCACCCAGAGGCACCTCAGAAGAAAGGCCTGGAGATCTACTTACAAAAATCAGCCACTGAAAACCCCATGGCACACAGTTCTGTTCTGACTCACATGGGGCACCACGCAGCAAGCAACTGGTTCACCCCAGACTGACCTGCAACTGGAACAGCCAGAAACTCAGCAAAGTACATACAACCTTATGAGCTGAAACTAAGTATACCAGCTGTGCTACTCTGGATTTTAAAAACATTTCAATCACCCTATTACAACTGAATGCTATCTAGTCTGGTAAAATGGAAGAAAGCTTCAGGAGAAGTAGTACATGCTCTGACACATGGGAGGAGCGTGCGCGGCCTGAGAATGCGTGTAACGGCGGAGGGAGGCCCCCAGGTAAGGAAAAACGCTCTCCCTTGGCCCAAAGGCACAGGCTGTCCTGCCGATGGTCAACAGCCCTGCTTTCAGGGGACAAGGCCAAGACAACTCGTGAGAAGGGAGCATACAGATCAAGAGTCCGTCTCTCATTTGACTGAGGCAATCAAGGCACAGAAAGGTTATGTTAGCAGGCTGGAAGAAGCCAGCTTTCCAGCCCAATGATCTTCTCACCGTACAATGATGCCTCTGGTCAGGTGTCACCCCTCCTAACTAGGATTAACCAAACCCATTGTCGTCAAGTCCATTCCGACTCATAGCGACCCTACAGGACAAGGTAGAACTGCCCCGTAGAGTTTCCAAGGCACGGCTAGTGGATCCAAACTGCCAGCCTTTTGGTTAGCAGCTGAGCTCTTAACCACTGCGCCACCAGGGGTCTCCAGCTAGGACAATGGTTCTCAGTACTGGCTACCAATTAGAGTCACCTGGAGCTGTCCCACCTGCGGATCCCGGAGGCCAGGTCCCAGCCCGAGAGTCAGCTTTAATTGGTCTGGGTGGCCTGGGCGTCAGAGCATTTCAAAGTTTTCCCCACGTACTCTAACGCACAGCTAAGCTTCGAACCACTGCTGGGGGCACTTAGCATTCACTCACATGAAGACTGTAAGAACACCACTTAACTCCTTCTACGCCTGTCGGAATATTTCATGTTATTAAGAGAAACTCATGGAAGCATCACAAATCCTAACTGGGCTTTTTTTTTTTTTTTTTTTTTAAATGAAAGTGAGTTCACTCACTAAGAAAGAGTACGTTTTTCTATGATCAGCATTTTCTGACAGCCTTCAGGCAAAGCTCCATTACCCAAATACACATTCATGTTTTAGACAACAGAAAGGAAAAAAAAAAAAAAGGCATTTATTTCCATTACTGTATGGAACTATATTTACTGCTTGGAAACTAACAGAGTATTATTTGAGAACTCTTCAAAGCCTGGTTAGCCTGCTGACGACCGAATAAACCCCTGTTCCAGGGAACGAACCACAGTGCCAACAACCCGAAGCACATGTAATCACTGCTTCAAAGCATTGCTTTGCTTTTCTAAGTATAAAAAAAAAAAAAAGGTTCAGAAAAGAGTACAGTGATGAACTATGCTAAACAAATATTTGTACAAACAGAAAATAATCTTATTTTAACAAGCTTCCATTCATTTGTAATGGCGTAAATCTCCTAATATTACCAGAAATGAATGAAGACATGGATTTACTTTTTATATAAACATGTAATGAACATACTCATAAATATTAACCATGTTGATGATGGTGATCCAGCCAACAGAAACAAATCTTCCATATGAGAACACTGTTACAGTTACAAAACAGCTTCAGGTGTAAATTCCCTAACGAATGAGTAGTTCAGGTCAATTTCTTTCTTTCCCTTAAGACTAAGGTTACAGTATGATATGACCCCATGTAATGAAGTCTGACACTGTCCTTCTTCACCCAGGTGACCAGCCAACCCACGGTTAGGAAGAGAGGGGACACGCGGCTGGTGTCAGAACTGCAGTTACTGGCTGGCTTATTCAGCTCCCGGACACAAGAAGCCTTAAAGCGGATTCATATTCTCATTGCACCACCCACAGGTGAACACTTCAGCCTTAAGAGAGAGTGACTTTAAAATAATAAGGCCGTTAGATTGAAACCACAGAAGCCATGTCTTCTCACCCAGAAGGGTGGTTTTAGCTAAATGAGAAACTGCTTACTGGAAGGCTTACCCAAGGCCTGTGGAGTCCCTGGGCAGGGCATACAGTTAATACACTCAGCCGCTAACCTAAAGGCTGGAGGTTTGAGTCCACCCAGAAGCGCCTTGGAAGAAAAGCCTGGTAATCTGCTTCTGAAGAATCAGCCACTGAAGACCCTAAGGAGCACAGTTCTACTGCGACACACGCGGGGGCGCCATGAGCCGCCTGCAGTGGTTTTAGCTCTCTGGTTGCCTTGTTGCACAGAGTCATCTGCCTTCAGGGACCCCCACTCCCTCAGCAGAGCTGGTTCGTGTGTCTCCACCTATTGGTTCACATCTCACCAAAACAAACAAAAAAACTAAACCCACTGCCATCACGTTGATTCCAACTCAGAGTGACCCCGTAGCATTTCCAAGGCTGTAAATCTGCATGGAAGCAGACCACCACCTCTTTCTCCCTCGGAGTCACTGGTGGTTTCGAACCACTGACCTTTCGGTTAGCAGTCAGATGCTTTAACCACTGCACCACCAGGGCTCCCATCTTACGGGATACTACAGATGGTCAACCGACATACAAGCTTCCACCTCCCTCCAGTCTGAAACACCTGAACTTCTGAATGGAGAGGAGAAGCTCTGTCTGTTTCTCCACCTCTAACACCACCACCCTAGTCCAACCACCTTCCTAACCACCCACCTAACTACCCACCTAACCACCACCCTACTCCAACCACCTTCCTAACTACCCACCTAACCACCCACCTAACCACCTTCCTAACTACCCACCTAACCACCCACCTAACCACCTTCCTAACTACCCACCTAACCACCTTCCTAACTACCCACCTGACCACCCTCCTGACCGCCCACCTGACCACCCTCCTAACCACCCTGGACAACTCCAACTGCCTCCTCACTGGTCTCCTGACTTCTTCTCTTACCCACCCACCTTCCTTCCCCAGAAGCCATTTCCCTCCCAGCTTTGCAGTGAGTGCAATCTGACACAGGGCACTCCACATAAGCAGCCCTGGCTGCTCGTCCAAGCGCAGCCATCATCACCCTGGACCTCTCACTCACCACTCCAGCCACACGGTCCCTCCACCGTGCCCATGCCTGCACAGGAACCTGGGCCTTTGCTATTCCCCCCGACAGCATGAGGCAGCGGTGCTCGGTGGCAGAACTCCAGCCTTCCATGTAGAAGACCTGGGTTCGACGCCTGGCCAGTGCACCTCACTTGCAGCTACCACCCGCCTGTCAGGGCATGCTGCTCTGATGCTGAGCAGGCTTCAGCAGAGCTTCCAGACTGAGATGCGTTAGGAAGCCTGGCCATCTACTTCCGAAAATCAGCGGGTGAAAATCCTATGGATCACAATGGTCCAATCCACAACCAATCCTGGGGATGGTGCACGACTGGGCAGGGTTTCGTTCCACTGTGCATGGAGGCGCCACGAGTCGGGGGCCAGACTGACTGTAGCTGACGACCGCGGCCTAGACAGACAACTACCCAGAAATCTTGACAAGAGCTTCCTCCTGGAAGCCAAGCCCAAACTGTTCAGAGGCCTTTCTGGGCCACTCAAGCTAAAGCAGCTCCATGCCTGTCCTCAGTGTGCCCCCAAAGCTGTTCTCCGCCCCTTCCACCCTTCTCTGGGCTCTGGAAGGCTGACCCCACCTGCAAATGGACTGCCTGGGCCTCCTGCCTGCTAGCTGCCAGCTGGGCTCTGCCGACGGGACCCGAGGGTCAGGGAAGTCAGTCCAGCTCACAGTGATGGTTCTTGTTGTTCCCTCAGTCCTGCCCCAATGAGCCAGCTCTTCATCCAAACTGCTGACACATCGGAATGCCTCTGTCGGGGCCTGACTGGCACAACCCAGCCCCGCCTGCCTCACTCCGTCTCATCACCCTGCTCTACTTTTCCCATTGTACTTATCATTACCTGAAATCACTGTGTTCGGTTTGTTTTTAGTTGTTGATTGTCTGTCTCCTCCTCAACCTCTAAAACATAAGCTCCGTGAAAGCAGGGAGCTCGTGACGTTTCCCACTGTATCTCCGGGGCCTAGAACAGGCCTAGAACAGTTGTTGTGAGCTGCCGCTGAGTCAGCCCCAACTCGTGGCGACCCCACGCACCATGGAACGCTGCGCGGTCCTACGCCACCTCCATGCCTGGTTGCAGATCGGACCGTTGTGATCCGTAGGGTTTTCACTGGCTGATTTCCAGACGATGATTGCCAGGCCTTTCTTCCTAGTCTTAGTCTGGAAGCTTCACTGAAACCAGTTCAGCATCATAGCAACACACAAGTCTCCACTGACAGATGGGTAGTGGCTGCACCCGAGGTACATGGCTGGGAGTCAAAGCCTCATCTCCTGTATGAAAGACGAGAATTCTATCACTGAACTACCACTGTCCCCTAGAGTCCAGTTTAAGCATTCGATAGATAGCAAATGAATGAACGCTAACCCACAGTCTCTGCGCAAAACATCACCGTATCAGTAAGATCTTCCCTGACTGTCTTAGTAAAACAGCTATCCCTCTCCACACCTCCCCTCCCTCCTCCTCCTCCTCCTCCAAGTCCTACTTTTACCTACAGCGTGCATCACCTCCTGACGTATCTGATATTTGTTTATTGTCGGTCTCCCCCAATAAGAATGTCTGAAAGCAGGGATGATATTTTATTCACTGCTGTACCCTCAGAGCCTAGAACAGTGCCCAACCCACAGTAAAGTCTCAACAAACATTTGTTAAATGAATAAGTGGCAAAGTGGGCAAATTTTCATGCAAGGCAATTTCAGGAGTGTCCCCAGCACTTACTGGGAGAAATTAAGCACTATGCGTTCCTACAGACACCCGATCAAAGAAGCCGATTCTTACAGGACCTGACATTGGTCAGTTAGAGAGACAGTCTGAGACCCCTTGGAGAGACACTTGAGATGCTGGCTAAGCCTTAGCCTAGGAAGAGAAGAAAAGGCTTTAGCAGAAGATGAACAAGACCCTGTGCTCCTGACATTTGCTGTTCTGAGAAAGCGTGTACAGAAGCTTACCTAAGCACCCAGCCATCGTAAACCCCTTCTGAAAGCAAATGGGCATATAAGTTATAAATAAGTGAGACCTGGGCACAGTTTTCTATTCCACAGTGGGGTTCCTCTTGGCAGCCACCTTCAACCACAGTTCATGGACAGTACATACAGACCCAGAATCAAGCACTGCTCTTTTTTCCCTTTTTTGACAGCTGGTCTCCTAACGGGGCATCTCCCAAAGGCAGGTTTCATTCTGCAACGCCTCCACCGTCAAAACTGTGCTCTGCACAGTCGCTGCAAAGGTGAAACACACTCCCCCTCCCCGCCCACATCGCTGATGACTCATACCTGCCTCTCACCCTCCAAAGCCTACGGATTGTATGGATTTGGGGGGGTGCGGTGGGGGGAAGCAACTCCCAATATACTGAGTGTCCTCGATGGTGGCGCGTCACTCCCTCAGGAGTCAAGATTTGAGGCAAAATACCCTAAAGGCCTAGAAAATGGGCCCCTTTCGCCCCAAAACCATTTACATAAAACTGGCCAAGCCCAGGATATAAAGAGCAGCCAGGGATGCTCACCCAGACACCGGTTTTCCTTCCAGCAGCACAGACTGGGGATGCAGGGATGTCCTATTCGTGAGCACTGAGTCACGTCGGCGCTCAACGTCTGTTTCCTCATCCCTATGAATGAGTGACCCCCTCTCCGAGAGTGAATAAATGCAGGGACGGTCGAAGCCCTGGGGCGGGGTCGGTGCTCAGCCACTCTGTCCTAATTCATTCCCTTATCTCCTACTCCCTGGTCCCCCGCCTGAGTGATCAGGTAAACACCCAGGGGCGGGGGCGTCTCTGGGGGCGGTCAGGGGCTCAGGTCAAAGGCCACACAGGCGGAAACCAGGAGACCCTCAGACCCGCCCCCACGTGGCTGACCGGAGGGGGCTGCTGAGGGTGTCTGGGGCGTCGCTGTGTCCTCAAGGGCCGCCCCCCGACGCCCGCGCTGGAGACGCCCCCCGGACCCCCGACCCCCGGGGCTGGAGACGCCCCCCGGACCCCCGACACCCCGGGCTGGAGACGCCTCCCGGACCCTCGACCCCCGGGGCTGGAGACGGCCCACGGACCCCCGATCCCCGGGGCTGGAGACGCCCCCCCGGACCCCCGACCCCCGGGGCTGGAGACGCCCCCGGCCGCCTCACCCGGCACAGGCCGTCCGCGAGCACGCGCGGGTCCAGGCGGCAGGCGATGGTGGCGCTGGGCAGGTCCTGCAGGGCCACCTCC